CCTTTCAAGAGATTAGGCAAGAAACTATGCGAGTCAAATTACACTTAACGTCAATCTTGAAAGCCATAGAATCCTATGTACTTTTTATTAATGTTAAGTGTGCATTGGTAGCTGTATGTTATGACACATTGCTCCAATTAGTCTGTATATTTCAACATATTATAAGAAATAGTATATTGGATAATGTACTTTGTAGGTGTTTTGTTATACACACCTACATGAAAATTTGGACGTATATTGACTGTCGCACTGGTCCGTCAACATTTCTTGTGAACACAACAGAGACTAAAACTTTTATTTGATTTTATTGAAATTTGTTGTGATCATATAAATTGATGAGATATGGTTCAAGTTCAAATTTGACAATTTTTCGATGAACGGTTTTTGAATTATTGCCCTTGACTTGGTTAAAAAGTCTCAAAATGTGTTTGTGAACACAGTAGAGACACCAATTTTTATCTGATTTTAATGCAATTATGAAGATTTTTAAAATGAGAAATTTGTGATTATGATTGCTGTCAGTGGGCGAATGTTGCCTTGCCTCGCAAGCTAACTTATTTATTACAACGTATTTTAAATGTAGAAAGATCCAGCGCTGGATGGTTCCCATTTTCAATATATCTTCCGGTATAACATGATCTCATTTATATTTTTATAAGTGACATACTTTTTTGTTACTTTTTTCCTTTTTTTTGTATTAACTTTATCGGATTAAAATTTCATATACATTTCTACGTCAAGTATTTATTCGTGTTAGGAAATATTCATTCATTTCGGGAAAAACATATCAGAATATGTTAGTTATAATTCGTATCGTGCTCTTTCACTGATTATTGAGAGATAAGTCATATTAGTTCGAATGTTGTTGCAATTGATTGTCGAGGTTTCACTGACTTAAAGATTTTTCCCATGTTAGATAATTCTTTGGTATTAGTGAAGGCTTCTCTGGTTACCTTTGGAATGTTTTGATAGTTTTTCATTCCAAGGATCGTACAAACTTGGTTGTCATCAATCTTATTAAATCTTGTTATCGCTTCTTTTCCCTTTTTATTCATCTCCATTGTATTCTAACACGTTTTATACCACAGTCTCGTTCTAACGACGTTATGTTTTAACCTATTGTGAGATATCAAAAGCCAAAGAGGCTGTCATTTCGACTTGGGGTTCGATATCCGACAATTGGTAACTTTTGGCAAGACACGGGTCCTTCGTGACATGCTTTGATTGGTTAAAAATACGTCATTAGGTATAAAATATGTTACATTACAATGGAGACGACAAATATTGGAAATTAGAACAGAAACAGGAAATTTAATCCAATTTCATATAGATTAGGTTTATATTAATTGATCTTGTTCAAAAATTCAAATTAGACTTCAAAATAATATTATACTTAAAAGTATATTTTCATGCATTTATACATAAGTCGAGTAAGATGACATAAGAGTATTAGAGGCTGTTTCCAGAGGTACATTTCACTGTTGCCTTAAAAATCCATTTAAAATTTATGGGGGGAGGGGGGGGGGGACTTTGAACTTTGAACACTTTGACTTTGAACAGACATGTAAAAAAAAACTGAATATGAAAAGAATGCATTTTGTGATGCTTTTGGTTATCTTTCTTCCAATTCCCACGAGAAAAAGCCAAATCTTGTTGGACACGATATCGGATGAATAAAATCATGCTTGAGGTTACTACTTTCAAGATGTTTGAATGAAGAATATTATAGACATGCACGGGTGATAGATAAGGCTATAGCGTGAATACGGTCTGTATCGATATGACCGTGTCTTCCTGATCTCTTACTAAAAGTTTTGATTACAAGGAAGTAGGCGTGTAGACCATGCAATTAATGAAGATTTTCAACGTTGGTTAATTAGACTTGTTAATCATTGATTCCCTGCATTGAAGACAATGCGATGTCAAGATATACATATTAATTCCGACAGCTTCTCCTAATTATCCCACCCTTCATTAGTCGAATCTAAATTAGCTTCTCATATTTATGCATACCTGACAAGCTTTCATTGTGAGCTTTCTTCTAATTACACCAAAATATGTGAAAATAATGTGACTACATTGTTTTCAAATATTTAGAATTGCTCTTACTATCATAAGTAATAAATCTGTGACCAAATTGTTTTCACAAATTCAAATATTTAGAATTGCTGAATTGCTATTACAATCATAAGTTGTATATGTTTGATCAAAATTGTTTTCAAAAATTCAAATACTTAGAAATGCCCTTAATATTGTAAGTTATATATATGTGACCAAATTGTTTTCAAATATTCAGAATTGCTCTTACTATCATAAGTTGTATATATGTGACCAAATTGTTTTCAAAAATTCAAATATTCAGTTATATATATGAGACCAAATTGTTTTCAAATATTCAGAATTGCTCTTACTATCATAAGTTGTTTATATGTGACCAAATTGTTTTCAAGAATTCAAATATTTAGAATTGCTCTAACAATCATAAGTTGTATATATGCGACCAAATTGTTTTTCAAAAATCCAAATATTCAGTTATATATATATATGTGACCAAATTGTTTTCAAAAATCCAAATATTCAGAATTGCTCTATCATAAGTTATATATATGTGACCAAATTGTTTTCAAAAATCCAAATATTTATAATTGCTCTTACTGTCATAAGTTGTATATGTGACCAATTTGTTTTCAAAAATTAAAATATTCATTCATAACTGCTCTTACAATCGTTAGTTATATATATGTGACCAAATTGTTTTCAAAAATCCAAATATTTATAATTGCTCTTACTGTCATAAGTTGTATATGTGACCAATTTGTTTTCAAAAATTAAAATATTCATTCATAACTGCTCTTACAATCGTTAGTTGTATTTATGTGACAATTGTTTTCAAAAATTCCAATATTGAGAATTGCTCTTACTTTCATAAGAGGTATCTAAGTCATGTATTATTTGGGGACCGAATCGTTTTCTAAAATCCAAATATTCAGAATTGCTGTAACTCTCATAAGTTATATTATTATAAAGCTTTATGCTGACAATACGTTCGTGTCATCTTTGGTATTAAGATAAGTAAATAGTCTTAATTAAGATGAAGATGTCTGATGCTATTAGTAATAATTACATGTTATTTGCATGTCGGTTGTCACTGTATCAAACTAATTCTGATACTTCTAAATGATCACTGTTATTAGCTGTTGACAGTTACTAATTAATAACCAAATATTTAAAGGAGATGAATCGCTTTACAAACATAAAATTGATGGGGTCACTTCTGGATTTGATAGTGAAATGGATACAGTCTCCAGCAAATGGCGTTAACGGCATCTCGAAAACAAAATGTGGTAATCAATCATATTTTAATTGGTATAATGAGTCAAATAATAACCAGTTTCTATGAAAAAATACCACCGCCCAATGGATTAACTACCATGTCCAACCAAATTTCTTGGAGGAGGGACCCCAACGCCAAGTCCACGAGCACAATTGAGATTTCGGAGGAAGGGAGGATTTGATTCACCCAAATGTGCAGGCCTTGGGTTGATCAAATTGCAATACTTACTCATTTATGACATTGCACACTAGCGTCACCAACAGAATCAATGGAAACACTGAGCTGTATTTTAAGTCGATGAGTCTTTAATTAACTTGATCCCCTTACAGATCATATTAGGATGGACACGATACAAGGAAGACAGACTATATTCACTATCAAACACTGACTGATGAAACCTGAAAAAATTCAAGCTTTTAAAGACGATTGTTCACAAATTTATACTATCAAAGAACTTTACGTACTTACTAATTGATAAATTTGTATGTATATTTCTTATTTTTTGTGCTAATAACGCAACTTGCCTAATGAATCGTACGTAGCAAGGTACTCTGCTTTCTGACATTCATAACAAAGTTCAAACGCCTATTTTAAGTCTTTCATTACAAATCTCACACTAATCTCTTCTGTCAAAAGACGTGTGGTCTTATTTACGTTTGAACTCAAGTAGATGAATCTTATTGAAAACTTTGTCAAATTTAACACAATAATTGTTTACATAGTTGACAGTTTCCTCTTGTATTCCGGAACCTTTGACCAGAATCCAATCAAGGAAGCAAATATTCATTCTGGACGGTACAATATTCTCATCAAAGAAGGAACATTAATAAAGTGGATCTGAGTATATTGTCTTAAACAAACTCAATGTGTTGGAAATAGTGTCCTCTATACGATATTAACTTTTCTACTTGAGTCATTTTACATCCATTATTATAGATTACTTCAAGTATAGAAGTACCTGACTTTCCTTCTATAATGGCATTTTCTTTGTCCAGTTGGTCACCTGATTCATTTATAGTTAGAGGGCTGTCTCATAACCTGAAGTCATCATTTCTATCTTAATGATGAAATCGTTTCCATGGAGCGAGTTTTGTCATTAGACGAACTTACCTTATTGGTGTATGACCCTGGCCACAGAACTAATAAAACTTAAAGAACCAATTAAGCAAAAAGGGTTTATTCTGAATATTCCTGTATGTTTTGTATCTTATTGGGTTAAAGAAAAAAAACATTCATTATGCTGTTTAGAAAGGAATCTGACTAAGTACTAAATTGATGTTGTGCCTTGATACTCAATTGCTGCATAAAATAAAACAATAAAGAATCGAGTATTATGAAACAACATATATTAAACTATTTGAAAAGCACAAGGGAGAGAAATTGGTTTCTGTTCTGTTAAAAAATCTGTGCAAAGGCCTGTACTGGCAGCAGAGCAGAAAATTCAAACACTCCAAATATTAAGGCATTTGTTGTTGTGTAAAGAATTGCTTTTCAGCATATTGCTTGAGAGACTTTTAAACTACATTTTTGACACACAGACACCATCTCATAACATATTTTATTTCAAGTCCGAATTTCAAACATAGCTGGCCATTTTTGCTAAAATTAGTTATATTTTCATTGTTAAACGACATGTTAACGGTTGTAACTATTTACTATTTTTCAGAGTGAGAAGAATCAGATTATGATAATTAGTGTCTGGTTGATGCATGTAAGTATTCATTCAAAAAATGAAATTAGACCTAACTTTATTTTTAATAAACATGTAGCGACTTAAGTTAGGGTCCAAAGACTGGCCTCTTGAACATTCGTCACATTAACCTTTGACCTGACACCTGCTTTAACCAATCATATTCCTTCACAATCACAAAATCTGGAGAAGGCAGAAACTTGATTGGCTAGTTAGGTTAGGTCAAAAGTTACTCTGACGAATGTTCAAGAAGCCCGTCTTTAGATCCTTACTGAAGTGGCTATATTAAAAAAAAATCATAAAAACGGAACAAAAGTTTGGTTTAAGTTTAATAAGACTAAAATTCATTTAACAAATTAACTCACAAATTAGTTTCGTCGTTCAAAACCCTGAATTAGTTTCGCCGTTCAAAACCACGGATTGATCATCGCCTCATATTATTAAGATTATAAAGTACAAAAAGAGTTTTATATACACGAGAAATGAAAAAAAAAACGAATTGGCCCTGCATTGACGTCGTGTATTCGCATGTCACTTTACTAACTGTATTGTTAACCCCTGCATCGTATATGGTCTATTCGCATCTTAAATCGTAATACTGCCGTATGTCGAATTCTAAAAAAAATTTGTGATTAATAATATTTCAGATTGAAATCGGGGTATGATTTTATTTAAAAGAAAATTATGAATATGAAATAACATACAGATCTTTTTTGTTTATAAACAGTAAAGGAATAAATCACATTGTTTTAGATGATTAAAGAGGTAGAATATGACAGGACAGAGTCGGTGTTATAAATCTTCGTTTGTCTTGCCAATAATGATCGTACATCGAAAGATCAGTTTCATTACTAACACCTCATTATTTCGACGAGTATTGTTAACGAGGGTCTAAATTATAAACACAATCTTCATAAATCTATATTCTCTCTTGGAAAACAGCTTTAGTGTCTCGAGTGTCAAAAATGTTTATAGATGTCCATATATGAACTCTTCGATCTGCCAATACTGTCATTTCGAGAGAAAAGATCGGTGAGTAGTCTAGTATTCAAGGAATCATTTTCAGACTGAATTTGGAAAACATGAAATAATAATAACATTTGAAAGGAGATGTCCGTGTGTAAGGACTTTTGTTTATAACTATTGTATTTCCTAAGTCGTACAAGCGCTCGATAACACTTTTCGTAATGAAGTTTAGGATGACCTATTTTCAGACATTGGAAAATAATCCCACAGCATAAAATTCCAGCCGATCACCTATCGGCCAATCTAAAATGGGCAGTGTTCATATTATGGAAATAAAACTCTATTACGGATATACTACTCCTCTTAATTCAAGCAACGTTTCAATTCGCATACAGGAATCTTTTTCAAGCAATTATAATGGTTTATCTACTTCTAAATGTCATTCAAGGATTGAATCTGAACTATTCAACGATGACAATATTATGAAAGCATATTTTTTGCCATATGAACAACAAATTAAATTCTGTCGTTACATGGTATACAGTTTAAGAACTCATCATAATATTAGCGCCATAATCTACTTGCGATTGGCTGGTTGGAGATACGTCGTTACGTCCAAAACACCTAGTTATTTTCCTTTCTAAGCATTAATGATAGTAAGTTTCTCACGGTTTACCATCTTTCATAGTTTTACCATGCAATAAACGCTAAACACCCATATCGAATAATATTAGACACGGAACCACATGGCTTTTCTTTGAGAGATGAATTGCAATTTCTATCAGACGTTTAAAACGCAAAAAAGCAATCGCTGCACATGCTATTTCACTCAATTACTGGCACAGCAGTTTTGATCGATTGATTTGGGTATTGTGGGTATTTTCGATAGACCTTTAAAACAATAGGGCAATTCAATAATCAGAAATGAGTTCCAGCTCCTTTGCTGCAAAAACCACCGAATTTGTCACTAATATAATATTTCTCCAGGTTTAAGAAATATTAAAAATGTCTATTATAGTAATATATTAAATAAACACGTTGTTCGATCTTTGACTAAGAGTAATGTGTGATCATTTATCATGTAGCTATATAAAAGAAGTTTGACGCCTGTTCACTAACTAAACATATACCATCAAATATAATACAGACACATCCAATTCATCATCTTCTGTTTGCTGACTGTACTATTTAAAGAATCTAATCTATCCGATTCCACTTCATTAACACACAAAATAGTTTCAGTGTGTACAACTACAAAGAGGAAATCGACCTATCAAATCAAAAAGACACTATCCACGAACAACAAAATTCATCTCCGACCTCAGCTTTGTTGATTTCTAGTTTTTAAACGACAGTTTCTTCTTTTCAATACCGAGTTTGCGAGACAAAATATTTTTGTGCGAAGATCTTGGGGCCATCGGAGATAACCAAGTTTTCCATAGACATCACATCATAGACAAAATATTTTTGTACGAAGATCTTGGGGACGCCGGAGGTAACCAAGTTTTCCATAGACATCACATCATATTTTAACTTTTTAAACAATATTTTTTTTTGTCATATTCTCAATATAGGTCGCTTTTCCAACAACGGGCCATCCAGAGAACTTTTCAGAATCAATTCTTGAAAAAGTAACATGCCAGAAAGGAGGACGACGGTGTTTGTTTTAAAATCTTTAGAATGCTTCAAATAAGTCCCATGATGTAATCGGTAATAACTGCACCCGAGACTGTCGAGATCTGCGTTGGGATATACCCCCTCCTCCCCTCCTACCTAATAATTCCTGTCATATACCTCTATCCTTTGAGCAGCAATAATATTCGCATTCTGAAAAATAAGTGTAACAAATGAGTTACAATATATTGCCACCCATAACAGCACTTTTTGAATGTTGGATAACAGATCTTACTATAAAATGCAGATGTAAAAACCTCTGTTATCAGAGTATCACATTCTCTGGGTCACCAGTAGTTTGTTATGACTAAACTTCCGATATCAGAAAATTTAATTAATTATCTCTATTTACTCACTGTAGGAATGGTATGACAACAGATTACGATGGGAACCAGAAGATTATGGTGGAGTTGCTAAACTTCATATACCATCAGATGATTTATGGAGACCAGATATTGTCCTTTATAATAAGTAAGTTTTTATATAGCTTCTCACTATGTCCTATTAATCCATATACGATTTATATTAACTACATACTTACCGCTTATACTCTTTTATGTACCTCGACAATAAGTTCATTCATTATGTTAATTTTTTTTTCTATTCAGAAATAAGGGGAATTTTTATAATATAAAAGAATCTGTGTTATAGTCAAAATGATCTAGGTTTTGGCCGTTTAGACCACATTTCTTGGCCGTTATAATATAATTTTATTAAGGCCATTTTGGAGAAAAAAAAATTATTTGGCAACTATCGAATTCAATGCATAAAAGGTTGTTATTATTTAATGCCCTTTCTGCCATGTAACTGCAGTCATCCGACACATGTTACATAGTGATAACAATTGTGATTTCGATTTATTGGAAAATATGACACAGGCATTAAATTATATTATATTACTTTTTATTATTATTTACAGCGCAGATGGAGATTTCGTGATAACTTTGTTGACAAAAGCTACCGTATATTATACAGGTAAAATCGTGTGGGAACCACCAGCTATTTACAAAAGTTACTGTCCTATAGCTATGGCATACTTCCCTTTTGATATACAAGAGTGTTTCCTAAAATTTAGTTCTTGGACATATGATGGTGTTCAAGTAGATCTACAACATATATGTGAAGGTGTTGAAAACGCAAATAATGAAAAAATCATTCTGAGAGGAATAGATATTAAAGATTTTTATTTCAATGTCGAGTGGGATATTATAAATGTCACTGCGAGACGGAAAGTCAAATTTTACCCTTGTTGTCCCGAGCCTTATCCAGATATAACATTTAATGTTACAATTAAAAGGAGGACTTTGTTTTACACTTTAAATTTAATTATGCCATGTGTTTCAATTTCGTGTTTGACAATTTTAGTATTTTTCCTACCTGCAGACAGTGGTGAAAAAATTACACTTTCTATTAGTATATTGCTAGCATTAACTGTGTTCTTCCTCTTGCTTTCTGACATTAATCCGCCGACGTCTTTAGAAATACCGTTAATAGGAAAGTACCTCTTATTCATTATGTTGGTAGTGACTATGTCTATCTTTTTGACGGTTTATACCCTACATATACATTTTAAAACACCAACTACACACAAAATGTCGCCTTGGGTACGAAAAGTGTTTACAGATATTCTTCCTCGGATACTGTGTATGCGCAGACCAGAATTTAAATCTGGAAAAGGAAAGGTAGCTGTGAGAACCTGTAATGGTATTGAGATGAGAGAGACCGAAACAAGGGATTGGCAGATCTACGAAAATGTTCATCCTCCAGCGGAAATTGAGCCCGATTTCAGTGTAAATGTAAACTGCACAAGTAAATATTCACCTGGAGTCATAGAAGCTTTACAGGGTGTTAAAACTATTGCTGATAATTTACGAAAAGAAGATGAAGAAAACGCGGTAAGTCATTACAATAGTGTTGTCTTTCAAAAACTGAATGGTCTTTATTTGAAATCATTAAATATATAACTGCTTTCTTTAATTCGGTTTAACTAAACGTTATTGATTCAAAAGGGTTTCAAAGCCAACACTTACTTTGTGCATCATGTTGATATTCTGCCCGACGTTTGTGGTTTTTGTAGAATTACCAAACTTCTGATGAAGTCCATAACTGGTTATACAATAATGAAATTCAGACTAGATCTAAAATATGAGGCAACATGTACGCTAATTAGAATACCACATTTTCATTTTTTGATGGAAAATAAAGTTTCAATATTGCACGATATTAAAGACACTTTATACGGACACAGCATGTTTTATGGTTGTCAGGTTTTATGTTCCAACAGGTCGTATTTGATTTTCCAATTACGTTCGCAGGTCTTTGAAATTGACAACTCCAATATTTATATTAAATTCGTTTAATTCCTATCTTGTCAAGCTTGCTCAGAGGTCTAATGAAATTTGTCATTCAAGTTATACTGCACTTTTCAATCTCGTTTTATTACCTTCTACAAGTCATAAAAACCACACAATTGACGTCCATTTTTAATCAAAAATTAGGGAAATATGTCGAGTTCTTTTTGTGTTATAAAAACTTTGATAAGGATTTTAGTGATAAGCATAATTTTTCTTGATTAGATACATTTTTGTCAGATTGTTGACCAAAGTATTGCTTCATTTTTTTCTAATTTCTTAAGAAAACGTTTATGTGATAAAACTATATAACAGGATCAATTTTTTCTTGAGCTCATGACGTATTAAAATTTGGATCTTGCAGGCAGCAATTATTTGGTTAGCAAGCGCATTTTATTGCATTATTTACAGTATTCGGGAGCACTTGAAGATTGGCAGTTTGGGCCCAGTATACGTCTCTTTTGTATTTCAAGTCAATGGCTAGATTCTGTTTGTCATTTGAATGTGGCTGAACCGTTTTCAATCAAGAAGGCATTTAACAATTATTTGCATAAATTTAAAATTTGATTATCTTCAATATGACAATAGAGTTGTTTCTGTGACAAATCATCATAAAATTTGTTAAACATTGTAATAATGATAGCGTGAAACTCCGTTTTAATATTTCTATATTGCTCTACAATAATTGATGTATTAAGAACTATTTAACAGTGAGAATTGGTATTTCAAAGACCTAAAAATTCAATGGCATCCTAATACGTGTGATATCAATGTTAGCTCATTGCTATCGTGTTATAATCTGCTCGCTAGTTGAACCCGATAATTTCGAATGGAATTCTGTTGTCAAAGCCATAAATGTGCTGTCTCGTACCACTTGTAGTGGTGGTGGTTCTATTCACGGTTTTAAACATTTGAACATTGCGAATTACCAGTGTTTTTTGGCTGACTACCTCTTTCCATCAATTGAATTATGACCTCTTTGATGATTGTTGCTAGTAGCAAGATGTTTCCCATGGGTTCGCCATTTCTTTCATCGCTTCAAGAATTTTGAAGACATAAACAGCTTTCCAATAACACGAAAACCAAAGAAAAACGTCTAAAAGCTAATGATCATTGATCAGTCAAAGACGAAATCTTTTATTTGCATTTTAAAGAAGTCATTCGCTGTAATCAAACTAGTGTATATATTCATTAAATTCTAAGGTTCTGTTTAATAGCTTCTTTCCACTTACAGTTAGAAGATTGTATTTTGGATTCATCCATTAAATTACCAACAAGTCGGCATTCGTCGACAAAAGTAGTAAAATAGAGTCAGTCCTGAAATCGCCCAAGACAAATTTCAATTTTCCGAATTCTCATTCTGTTTTACGAACTACCAACATTCGACAAGCTCAAAATTAGACGAAGTTTGAGAGAGTACTCTTCGGTGATACAGGACAATGGAAAGATATGGACAAAGCGCCGATTTTACGTGCCTCCCCTTTTTTGGTGTACAAGCTACGATAAGTTCAAAATTTTAGGTGCCCCTTTTTTGTTCATCAAGCTGCATAATTTCAAGATTTTTTCAATGGGACACCGAACAGAAAAAAGGGTGGTTCTGCACTGTGTCTTGACAAAATTGACTTCATACATTCTGCAAAAACTGTAGAACTTAATTCAAATTCTTATGTCATTGATCTATTTATTGTATAGCATATAAGTTCATTAACTGCGACCAATACTTAACCAATATGATGTTTCGGGTATCAGGTTTCATACGAATCGTTAGTTCTTGGTTTATTTTTACATGACGAAACCGACATTATGTAGTGTATCCTTATAAGAACAAAGCCAAGGCACAATAGTCGATTATCCGAAAACTATGATATCTGAAAAAGGAATTGTGTTCACACATTATCATTATTTAAACACCTGTTTATTAGTGTTATTTATATATATAATTAATTACTTACTGAATGTCAATATGGAAAATAGCCTATTATCATAATTGAAGTAATAAATAATCATTCAAGTATATTTGACTACAAACAAAAACATAGAGACATTGTAAATACAGATTACTGAAAAAGGTCAATAAATTAATATGGATGTGTTCATTAGGACTTTGCCTTTGTGTTTTATTTTTTTTATATTTTAGAGCAGCCATAATAATGTCATAAATTTATATAACTAAATAATTTCATAACAATGTCACATATAACTAAATATTTTCATAACAATGTAACATATAACTAAATACTTCCATAACAATTTCACATATAACTAAATATTTCCATAACAATGTAACATATAACTAAATATTTCCAAAACAAAGTCACATATAACTAAATACTTCCATAACAATTTCACATATAACTAAATATTTCCATAACAATGTAACATATAACTAAATATTTCCAAAACAAAGTCACATATAACTAAATATTTCCATGACAATGTCACATATAACTAAATATTTCCATAACAATGTAACATATAACTAAATATTTCCGAAACAAAGTCACATATAACTAAATATTTCCATAACAATGTCACATATAACTAAATATTTTCATAACAATGTAACATATAACTAAATACTTCCATAACAATTTCACATATAAATAAACACTTCCATAACAATTTCATATTTAACTAAATATTTCCATAACAATATCACATATTAATTTAAATATTTTCAGTTATCAAGGAAATTGCACTGAGCTTTATTGACAATCTGCTCTTTTTGAGCCTCAATTAACACAATATGTCTTTTTTGAAAGAAATATCAATTTAGTATAGTTATAAAGAGATATTCTTAATGCTAAAATTTTCACTCTAACAATTATTAAACACCAAGGTATAACCAATTAAGATTTTGAAATAATTAGGTATACGTGTTTGTAATTCCCAGCTTACCGACACCAGATTTCCTTCGTTACATTTGTGCTAATTTAACATGTTTTCAAAATACGGCTGTTAGTAATTAAGTTGATAACCAAAACACAATCAATTTCCATAATGATTATAATAAGCGCACGTTAATTATATTCAACTTGAGGTTGGAGCGGTTTATTTTAACTTTAGCGTAGAAGTTTGGTGTAGAACAATATAATTAAAATTAGATTACAATTTCGTTTCGTTATTTATTTATTTTTTATTTTGCCCGGTCTCCATCGCAATCTAACAAGATTTATACCAGGGTCCCGTAATGTTGACGTTTATTTTAGCTTATCACAGAGCGTCATGCAGAATTAATCTCTAAATATCGGCTATAAATTTTGGAATAGTGAACCCCAAAGTAGAACGAAATGAGATTATGAAACTGCCGATACTCGCTTACAAAAGTAATTTTGAGTGGCGCGTGATTGTCTGCTATAAATAGCTTGTAACGTCATCAGTACGTGACCTTGGTATAAATTTTGTTAGATTACAATGGAGACCAACAAAAAAAAGATAATAACGAAACGAAATTGTAATCTAATTTTCATGAGATTGGTTGTAGAGCTGAGATGTATTGATATGCATATCAAGCGTTCGAGGACACACTTCTAAGATTTCTACAGCCTATTCTTCATATCCCATTGTTACGATGATTGGGAAATATCTGATATTCTCCACTAAAATGGTTTCCCTTTTTTATCTTTTCAGGAAGTTCTTGATTGGAAGTACATTGCCATGGTGATGGATAGATTATTTTTATACATATTCACAACTGCATGTTTTACTGGAACACTTAGCATCTTTCTGTATGCGCCATCTTTATATGATCCAAGATTACCACTAAATACAAGTGACTCCAACAGTTCGTGTATATATTAGAAAACATATGGGACACTATTATTTTCATGCTTTTAGAAAAATACACTGTGTGTGTCATTGAAGTAACAGTTTTTGGGACATTTTAAAGGCAGGTGGTACCAATGCTTCCAGTGGTAACGATCATTGAAACTGTTGTTCTTTTTTTGGGATGGTTTTTTGACGATTAGAATCACATACATGTGGTACATATGTGTAAATAGTTGAAATGTACATTCAGAATAGACAATGTACGAGTTGCCATTACTATTCTTGCAAAATTCATCTCGTAGTTAACCGCATGACTTTGCTCATCTTCATTAATCCAACAAGATGCAGAACAGCATGACTTCAAACTCTGCTTTCAATTTACTTCCCGTTATAAAAGATTGCTAATTTCCGAATCAATTTATTTTTTGCCTAATTGTGAATGAATGGCTGACTTTAAAGATTGTATCGTCTCTGAATGGGTTGGTTTTATAAATTCCCAATTATCTTCCATTTTGTTCTTCAAGAGAAGCAACCAGCTAACCTACTAACCCAATAAAGATCCTTTTGTGAATTGAGTTACCCACAAATTTTAAGCGTCATTACAAGCTTTTTAACTTAAGCTCCTTGACAGGGGGAAAACCCCGTCGTTTAAATATCAAAAAGAGACTAAGTGCTAACTTAAGCAGGGTTACAGATGTCTTTGAGTACAAGATCTATTCATCGGTCAATTTTGTTAGTTTATTGCTTTTACGCGTATCATGTTTTTATATTGGGGAAATTATTCAAATAGGAAACAGAGCTAAATAGATATCATTTAATAAACCGTCTTCCTTTTCATTCTCTATTGACCAAGGAAATTCGGTTACAGAAAAAATGGCGAAACGTCCGGTAAGATTGATTAAGTCAAGTTTATTGGCATGTGGAATCAATAATATATCTAACGTCACAAAGTCTATGATAAAAGCCTTATTCAGATTGTCTATAACTTTATCTTCCTCAAACGAAAAGTTTATGATAAAATTCGAGATTGAAAAATAAAGAAGGAAATTACTGTTATATAGAGAGAAATTTGATTAAATTACGCCAATTTTCATTACAATCTGAAGTTTTTGATTAACTAAATTATTCTTAATATATTATTTTTTCTCAAGATAAATCAACTTCAAAAAACCACAGCACAATTTCTGTTATCTGTACGTATACAAGTCATGTCTTTATTTAAAGGAGAAGTGTGCTCCAGTTGCAAATTGAGAATTGTGTTAGTATTCTTCTCATTTTGTACACAGATGTATCAATTTTGTCAACACTGTTAACTCATTTTTGTGTTTTTTTTATTAATGCCATTGGAGGAGTAGACCTCATCCTTGTTTTCTGAACTCCATTTGCAAAAAGGTCGGTTTTTACAAAGATTTTTCAATGGTTTTCGCATTTAGATTTAGTTTTGTACAAAACATCCAATGTAAATCTCCACTTATTGCGACTTATTGAAAGTGACATATATATTTTCGTTATTTATTTTGTTCACTTGTACTACATATGTGTTCTGATTTTATAATGCAATTGTTTCTCCTTTGTCTGTGCTTCCGGAATACACTATTTATGAAGAATAACTTTGTATCTTGATAGTGACAATAATGTAGAGCTCTTAGCATTATGCATTTTCCATTATTTGTGGTGATGATTATTGTAATATCTAATGATCTCAGCAATTTAAAAAAAACGTGCGCAAATTTTTGATAATGTTCCAAAGGTTTTTCAAGCATTCAAAAGTGGTCGCATTACATAATTTTTCTTTATATATTTTTTTTGTGGTATTGTATAATTGAATATTTTGGGATGGTTGCCTCGTATGCATTAAATATCTAACTCACTTCCTTGCAACATCCAGTAATTTTAAATATAAAAACTTGGTTAGCGTATATTTACACGATTTTTTAGTTTGGGGCGAAGTTTGTGTTAATTCGTTGCATATTGACGCTTGAAGTATCCGAATATTTGATCATCAAAAACGTTAATAACGTCTTAAGGTCTTCCAGTACCTACTGACAGAAGTATTGAGTGTTTTCAGATGGGTTGTAGATGATGTTTCATCTGAAACATGGTCTTCTTGTAATTATGTTATGATATTTGTACACAGATGTTTGGTGCTTCCAAATTTATATAAAAAAAAAATTGTTATGCAAATTTGAGTATTTTTTATTTTTATCTCCATTGGAGTGATCTTCTGGGGTTTCTCGTCTTGTTGAAGTTCCTATGATAGCCAATGTTCGCTTTAAAACTATACGACCTCTTAGGATGACCAAAAAATTGAATTTTTTAAAACTTCCTTAAAATGAGTCTTGGTTTATCAGAGGACTTACCTAGTGTCAAAACTATACAACATAATCCAATAAATCCATAAAACTAATTTTGAAACATGCTAAGAAGCGTTTTTCAATAATTATTTAGTTTAATGGATATATCATCTTATATAGAGATTCTATTCTAAAGTTATGGCACCTGGTAAGTCCTTTCAACACATGGACATAAGCCAAATATATAAAGTGTAAAAAATCAATTTTGCTTATTCACTACACAAGTGAATTGTCGACAAAGCATCGGCGTGGGGTATCTGAGTGAGACAGACGCTACTAACCCGACAAATATTCCCCTACCAGTTCCTACCAGATGTGATATCGTGAAGGTTAGGGTCATCGTGTCCAAACAACGCCCATTTGTTAAGGACTTGGGCCGTTTCAAATCCCGTAGTCGGGAACATGGGTTAGGGCCAGAAATAAACTATCACTTTTTCAAAGCTAAACCTTAGGAACATTATACGATGGTTTTTCCCTTCCGTATGTCAAATTTTGCTTCTGTCTCGAACAAAACTGATTCAACAAAGATCAGGCCTAATTCCCTTAAAAAGTGCCATTTCATCTCTAGTCCTAACCCTGACCTTATCGAATCCGTATATCACGCAACAAATAGTGATAATTAATAATTCCCTTCAACATCATTCATCATATCATCATTAACTTGTCGAAGTGGTCAAAACTAAAAGAAGTGTCATCTTGAACTGCTCCAGTGTGGAAAACAAGATAACCCTCCGCTTTATCATCTAGTTTGAAAGATCAACTATGAAGATCGAATAATCATGTTTAACCAAAGGCTATTACTTCTTCCAAGTCATTGTTCTAAACTAACCCACTTTCAGTATGTTTCATTGAACAATGTTATTGGTTTTGTATCTGTTAGATCTTACTGTGACAATATATACTAGTAGGTCGTGATATTTTCTCTTTGAAACAGATCGCCATTTTCCGGTTTGATTTGGGTCTTGAATATATGTAATTAGAATCTTCAGAAGCACTAGAAATATACAAAAGTCGCATAATTCCTTCAAAAATATTTCAAACTATGAATTTCTGTTCCTATTTCGACAGATGTCTTTTCTATATTTGGCAGTGTCTCAAAAAAAGACGACTCGTCTTTTAAACTGTCCCGTAAAATTTTTGGACGACAGAACCTTTACCCTTCTTTGGACATAATGCATAATACATGTATTTAATTTTTATCCATTTAAAGAAAGTAAACTGAAGACAAGTATTAACAATGATTACAACCTATGGAACGTAGGCTGGTGAAGTTCTGTAATAAAAGCGGATTAAAATAAGAACACTTCTTGTTTATAAAATTACACAATATCAGTCTTGAAGAAGTATATTATATACACCTGCGTTACTCTTTATTTACTCCCAAGTTTCATATTGAATAGACAGTGTATTCTTCTCGGAATTAAAATATCCGTAACTTTTTATTACATAGAATCTTAGTTCAGCCACATCACGTTGCCATGGGACAGCAAAAACAAGTCATTGTTTGAGATAAAAGACACACGACCTACTCGTAACAGTCAATTTTATCTTCTACTTAATGTGAATACTGAATGCATTTTAACCATGACGACATGTCCGCTTTTAATGACTCATGAAACCAGCAAAAACCTATCATCCTACGAAAAGATTAGGCTAATGATGCTGTCCTGGCAAAATTTCCCTCATAGTACACTGCGTGGCGTTGCCCGTCTCCATCAACCCAAATAGGTACAGAAGTGTAGGACGTAAAACTCCATTCACTTCGTTTCATACTTAATGATTTGTCTATCATGTCTTCTAATGAGTCAGTTGAGAAACAAATGAATTTTGGCAAGACATTGTTTCTATTTCGAGGTTTAACACATGTACAGATGGTCTTTATAAAATACTCATTTGATGTTATCTTCTTTCTTACCTTTATTTATTTGTATTCACAATAAGTGTTGAAGAGAGTGGTGTTTTTCTACCTTACTGACGCGAAGGGAGGGTATTATTTTACTATAAAACCATTCAAAATTGCTAGGGGTGTTGTTAGTTACCAGGTGATTGGTATTTCCCCTGAATGTTAAAATGCTACATACAAGAACTATGTCCATTCCGTGAATGTAAATAAAGATATAGTGGGAATCAGTATATGTTAGGTTGTGTCAGATACTTTCAGGCTTGTCCATGGCAAATTAATCAAAGTTATTCTTCCACTGTTGGCTTGAGTTGATTGTTCCCAATGTTGTATCTTGCCTTCTGTTATATTACTGCAGGTACATCTTCAAAGACAATTCTTGGGCCTCGAACGATCGTTTTAATGTTAATGTCAAAACCTTCTACAAGGCGATGGAAGTTTAGTCGGATGTGTTTTTTTTTCGGTATGGCCATGTGCAATCCCGGACCTGAATAATTTGTTTCCAAGAACCTTAGAAATAATACTAAATAAAAACATATCCACTTGATTAAACGATTTACTGACTTTAATTTTGGGTTTTTTGCTGTCATATCATCGCTGAAACAAAACAAGAAACTTTCGTAAAAAAAGGATGGATTATTGTTCCAAGCATGGTAGAAGACTAACTAACTTGAAGCATTAAAGCTATAAATAGACAGTCATATTACACATGATGGAGAGTGTATCAGTGTATTTTTGACAGACCGTTATATCTAAGAGTTACAAGAGTAAAATATTAACCATTATATCATACTCTTTCTATAGTTTTGTTTCCAGTTTTAACATGTTGATTACAAGTTGATAGAGGCTCTTCAATTCTCATTCTCATGATTTGATTTTGTCCCGAATCCACCAGGATGACAAGGTTCGGTTAGGAACTTTCTTCGAAATGCTTTAGATACTATTAATAAAAATGCAAGGTCTGATTTGAAAACCTAGTACCTGATTACATTATCAAAATTGAGTTCGACAAATTCTAGGACATCATCTGATGTCATTGATCTATGATATTAAATTTTTAGATCCTGTCCTGGCAAATAACCTACTTGATAGCAATTGAAAAACTAAGTAAATTCAATTGGTCAATAAGTAAGGCGGATTTGGATCTTGTGCCATGTAATTGTGACCTTTATTTTGTATGCTTTAGAAAGCATTGATTTAGATATATTTATTTTCAATAATCTGATGTCTCGAAGGATGCGGATGCGTTAAAAAGCACTCAGTAAGAATGCAAAGAAAATAAATATTGCCGAAATATCAGAAGCTCAAAGGGACAATCATTCTCTTGGCCCCTGTAGTAATACTGGATGTTAGTTCAAACCTACTTCTGATTCTGTATCGCTGATGATATAGAGGATGTCAAGAAAGTAGGGGATCTTTTTGTCTTAAAACTGAAAATCTTTATCGAGAAAATATATTTGTCTGGAATCAATTGCTGAACCAATGGATGCTGACC